GGAAGAGGGGAGGAGAGTTGAGGTTTGATCTTGATCTTTTGGGCTCTTGTCCACCTCACTGTAGTTGCTAGGGTGAGTGGAGAAGGATACTAAGGAGTGATGAGTCTATGTGTCATTCTGGACCAGACTTCCAGGGACTTCCAAACCCAAGGACAAAGGCTTTCAGAAACATCCCCACCTTTTACCCCAGTAGGGTTCCTTGTTTCTTTCCTAATCCCCAACTTCTGTTTCTGAAACTGATGGCTCAAAAGTAAAGAGGAAAAGGGTAGAAATCTGAACATGTTGCAGGGAGATGAATGCCACAGCCTACATGCAAGTACCAAACCCTGCTGTGTGGTCTTGCACAAGTGACCGTCCCCTTTCTGTGCCTTGGTCTCTCTCCTGTAGAATCAGGCTAGTGTGAGGCTCTCAGCCTCTGCACTATTGATACTGGGAACTGAGCTGAGGAGTACGGGGAGGAGGCTGTTCTGGGCATTATAGGGTATTCAGTAGTGTCCTCAGTCACCACCTAGTAGATCCAGTCTCACCCCCTTCAAGTTAGGACAATCCAAAATGCCTCCAGACATTGCTAAGTGCCCCACTTGGAACTACTGGGCCAGTGGCATCTCTCTTTTTATGATGGTTATGAAAATTCTCAAAAAATTACTGCCTTCCTTCCTTCCCTTCCTTTCTCTTTGGGCTTATTCTTCTACAATGTGCAGATGAAATGAGATGATTCCTGAGGGACCTGCTAGTCCTTCTGGTCATGATGTTCAATGATGCTGTGTTCTTGTTTGGTGAAAGCATGAGCTCTAACCTGCTCCTTACCTGGGAAGAAGATAACATGCATCTGTTTTACACATGGGACATCTGGAGCAAAGATGAGGCCAGACATCACATTGGAGCTGAAGAAGGGGCTCAGGACACACAAAGGTTGACACCATCCCAAAGGCACCACTTTTCTGTGGGCACTCCCCAAAAGTTTTGGGGGTGGGGAGGCAAAGGAGGGAGGTACCAAAAGATATCCATCAGGAGACTGAGTGAGACTGGCCAGCTCTTCTGTTTAACTTCCTCCCCTGGCTAGACTACATTTCCCACTTTCCCTTGCTCTTAATGTGGCCAGTGATACGTTTCTGGCCAATGGCATGTGAACACAAGGTAAAGTCACCATATTCTGGTCCATTAAGGCTCCCACAAGACTCTCTCCACAAGCCCATCTGTTCTTGCTGTCCTCCACCAGTCCACTGGATGGCCATGCCCAGGGCGGCCTCTCAGCATGGGCCTCTGGATCTCGGCATGAGCTTGTGGAGCAGAGATTGCCTCTCCCACCCTGTGGAGTGGACTTTACATGAGAAATGAACTTCTATTGTCTTAAGCCATTTTGCATTTGGGGGTTGTTGATTGTGCAGTTAGCCTACTCTAAGCAACATAAGTGAAGGGCAGACTAGGGGCTACTGAGCCAGAGCAGGGCTCTGGTGGTATTTTCTTTAGGAACTAGAAAATTGTTTGTGTCAGTTCCCAGGAACTGTAAGTTATGGAAGCAGAATTTTTAGATGAACTAAACACATGATCATGTGACCCTGGGAGGTGGCAGCAAGGCCCTAAACACAGTCTGGCATGAGAGTCCACCCAGGATGGCTGGAGTGGCTTGTGCTGAGCCAGGGTTTCTTCAGAGCTAAGAATAAACTAATAACGGGGCACAGTTCTAGCACAAGGTGACAACTCCAGGCAGCACAGGCTCCAGGGTGGTGGCATAGCTGGCCTGCAGCTTGGTCAGGGGTTGTTGGTGAGACCTGAAAAGGCCTGAGCTCCTCCCTTAGCCCTAGGGCCTGGTGGTTCAGTACATCTGGGAATATTATTTCCCCCGGGGGCCCTTCTAGACAAGAAGAAAAAGGACTAGACAGTCCAGACAAGTGGGGAGTGGCCTCGCAGGCATGAGGGCAGAGGTGCGGGGACAGGGGCTTCAGCGTCCCTACTTAGCACCCTTCACTGGGTCCCAGGTGTGAAAGACCTTCCTGGGAAGAAAGTTCTCCTGAAGGAGGTGTAACAGTTTGGTGCCTCTTTGCTCCAGGACGAGCAGCCCATGGCTCTCAGGACAATGACTCCAGGTCACAGAAGATGTCACTGGGGCCTACACAGTATGCCAAATAGAATCTGGGCCAAGGGGTCACTTTTTGGCCTCTCACTCTGACTCTTACCTGGCTCTTCCTTATGACCAGGTCCAGGGATGCTCGGCTGCCCTGACTGGGATTGGGTGGGTCTGGTGACAGAACAGGAAGTCCTTTTGGCCTCTCTTCTGGGCCACTGTCTCTTGCCTGACTTTGCCAGCTCACATTTTGGTACTTGGGCTCCTCTATACTTCATCATTTCAGGATTTAGAGAGGGAAAGGAGGTGGTTTAGTCAACTTGAAAATCCTACCAGTGGTGGTGGCTCTGACTGGCAGGATCTGAGGATAGGCCGGGCTTCTTCAATTGCCTGGATGCCCACACTAAGCCCCAGAGTAGCCTGTCCACCTCCCGGCCTAGCCATGAAAAGCGTCTCAGTGGCAGGACGGTCTAACAGCTTCCTGAGCAGGTGCCATTGACCGAGATTCAAGCCGGACAGACTGGCCGTGGCCAGTGTCTGCCCTTCTTCTTCTCTTGGAGGACCCAGTGTCCCCTATGCCCAGGACACTTAGCTGTCACAGAGACTCCTCCCCTACCTCCCCACATCAAGAAGAGAACATTTTAAAAATGTTTTTATTTAATTAAAAAAAAGACAGAACTAACAACTCAAAACCATTGGTGGGTACAGGATCACAGGGGCTTAACTGGCGAAACACACAGTGGGAGGGAGAGTTGGGGGGTGGGTAGGAAGGTGGGCTTGGGCCACACTGCCCTCGGGGAGGGTGCCAGGTGGAGACGGGCTGCAGCAGGGCACCAGCTCCTCTCCCTCTGCCCTGTGGGAAGGTGACCCAGAGGCCAGGGTCCCCAGAGCAGGGCAGGACAGCAGTGGGGAGAACAGCTGTGAAGGTCAGAGTGTCTGAGGTTGTCCTGCTCCATGTTCCTCTGTCCCTCTGTCACTTCTTCCCCTTCTTTCTACTCTTTCTTGGTCTCTACAGCGGGCCCTGCATTCCCTGCCTGGGACTGGGCAAGAGGTAGGATTCATTGGAACACAGCTTTCTCTATGGAATCACAGAAACTTCTGGGGCAGCAGAAGGGGAGGTGGCTTGTGTGGAAGCCACAGCAAGGCTGTGCGGCTTTTGGAAGAGAATGAAGACAAGTCCTGGGCCTTGCTTGCTGGGGCTTTCTTTAGCCTCGTAAGACGGTGGTGTGGCAGTGAAGGTGATGAGGTGGAGGGTGGTGGGTGAGGCAGGGTGGGGGTCCTGCAGCAGGGATGGCCACACGCCCTAACACTGTGGTGCTCAGTGCTGAGTGTGCTTAGAGACACCCTGGCCAGGAGGGAAGGGTTTTCAGCAAGCACAAAGGGGGCCCTGGCATGCCTCGCGTCTCAGCTCACTGGCACACAGGGGCAGTCAGTTGGAGTGGTGACATGGGATGTCCTCTCTTGGGGGTGAAGGGCAGGCAGGGAAAGGCGAAGGTCATCACCAAGACCCTGGTTCGCCCAGGGGTTCAGTGAGCAGGTGGCTGAGGTAAGAGCTGAGATGGCTACTGGGATCACAGATGACTGTTCGAGTTGGATTTAGAAGTCTCAAAAAGTAAGAAACAATTTATCCTTAGAAAGCATGTGTTTTATAGAAAAGAGGGTAAGTTCCATGTTCCAGAGAGTTCTCCTTCCAAATCTAGACACACTTCTGTGCTCTTGGCTTGTTTCGGGGTGGAAAACCTTCCAAACACAGAACCCATGACCCCAGCTCCAAAGAAATAGCTGAGCTCAAGTCCTCTCTCCTAAGGAGAGAGAAGAGCCCACCGTGGCCTGTTCAGTCACCCTTCTTCTGCTGCATCCTTTCTGGTGGTGGCAGAATAAGTTGCAATAATACGAGTTGGGGGACGTGTTGCTGCTACTTTTTAAGATGAGGAAATGAACGGAACTTGCTCTCCGGGTGTTGGTTTATGAAACAGCATGATTCATTACCACTTGAAAATGGATGCTTGTTCTCTGGGGTTTTTTGGTTGCTGTTCACCCTCAGGTCTCTCTCTCTTGTACCAAAGTCCAGGGTTCTGTTGCCAAACACCAGTCGGGGGTGGGGAGTGGGGGGTCTACCTCCACCTCCCTGTGTAAAGAACCCTGCTGCTTAAGGGGACAGAGCTGCTCCTCAGGCCAGTAGAGAGGGACACAGCAAGAGGCCACATGGCCACCTTTCTTCTGACCCGTGGGATCCTCCAAGCCCTCAAGTTCAGTCGGCGTGTTCAGGCCATTTTGAGTGTGGTGGAAACCTCTAGAAGCAGAGAGGAAGGCCAACAACAGCCCTCACCTTTACGTCAGACTCCCCCACAGTCCTTCATCTCCTGAGGTGGAGGGAAGCCAGCCCCAGGACAGCTTGAGGCTGTAGCACCAGTTGGCCACAGAACTTTCTCTTCCCGATGACTTTTCAACAATAAACTCATCAGAGTGCCAGAGAGAGGCCGGGAGAGGGAGACACACAGAAAGTAAGGGAATGAACTTCATTGCCCTCATTTCTGACTCAAAGACATAGGGATGTATGTTTGAGAGCAGCCGATGAGAGCACAGATGCCCCCCCATGCCCGGAGAGGCCTTCCAGTGGCCTGACGCCCAGGCAGGGAGCAGAGGCCTGAAATCCCCTTCTTCTGGCAAAATTGGCTCCAAGAGGAGATGATGGCTCAATTTTGTTTTTCCATACAGCTTCAGGGAAGCTCCGTCCTGGGAGATTTTGGAAAGCCTGGGGCAGCAGAACACCCTTTTCTGGGGGATAAAGTCAGCTTTTAGCTTCTGCGACAGCCCTGATTCCAGTCTCCTGGCTTCCTTCCCTCTGAGCCAGCCCACTGCACCTGCTGGAGGCCAGGGAGGGGGGTGTTTGGCATCAGTTCATTGTCCCTTGCCTTAAGGATCACGTGCCCTCTGGGGGAGCCAGTGCTGAGAAGGGGGGCAGGTCACACAGGGGTGGTCCGCCGGTTCAGCATGCTGACGGGAAAACCCTCCTTTAGGTCTGGCTGGAAGAAATCGTGCACCTGCAAGAAGCCGGCCTCCTGGTCGGGGCTATAGCTGGCAGCTGTGGTCACCTTGAGGGGCTCCCTGGACAACGTGTACATGGACAGCTCGCCCATGGGGATGGCCCCGGTGATCTTCAGGCCCACAGGAGACGTGTCCCTGGAGGGCGAGGCCTCAGTGGACCTTGAGCTGGATCTGGAGCGCCGTCGGCGGTACCTGTAGCTTGGCATCCTGGCGTAAGGAGAAGAGGAAGAAGCCTTCAGGAACTCCCTTTTGGTCTTAAACCTCAACTCTTTATTTTTCTCAATGTAAATGTTTACAGCCAGGACGCCCACGGTCTCTGCCACAATAAATGACAGGGCTCCAAAGTAAAAAGACCAGCCGTAGTTGTAGTGGTTCTTTTTGTCTTCGTCGCGCTTGTCACTGGGGTCCCCTGTGTTACTGGAAATGTAGACAATGATGCCTATGATGTTACTGAGGCCTGAAAGGAAAGCGGGGAGGAGGAGAAGCAAAGGTTAGTTAGGGGCTGTGTACATTGGAGCAACAGAATAGGGAACAAGTGGCCAAGGGAGGGGCTGGTGGCCATTTTCCCTCCTCCACGAGTATTCCAGTATTCCTTTATTCTGGTGGCTAATTTTTCTCTTAAGCACAGGTGTCCCCCCATGTCCATGAGGATTGGTTCCAGGACCCACAACAGAAACCAATTCTGCAGATTCTCAGGTTCCTTATATAAAATGGCATGGAGCTGGGCACCCGTGGCTCACGCCTGTAATCCTAGCTGTTCAGGAGGCAAAGATCAGGAGGATCATGGTTCGAAGCCAGCCTGGGCAAATCGTTCATGAGACCCTACCTAGAAAAATCCATCGCAAAAAAGGGCTGGGTGGACTGGCTCAAGGTATAAGCCCTTAGTTCAAACCCCAGTACCACACACACACACACACACAGACACACACAAAAAGCATGGTGTTGGCACTTGACCTATGTACACCCTCCTGCATACTTTAATACAATAAAGCTGTTCTTAATGCTTGTTATACACTGCTTCCTCTGTTCTGGGTTCTCACACGATCGCTATCTAGCCAACTCCCTCAGATCATGGCCTCCCATGTGTCCCCTGGGGTACTTCCCTGACTCCTGACTCAGTCACCCTACCCCCCTTACAGGCTTGTAAAGCACCCAGCACCCACCTTGGTGGTACTTTGTACATCTGACTTCTTTTTGAGACGAAGCGAAATCCACATGATGTAAAATGAACCTTTTTTGAAATGCACAACCAAGTGGCATTTCATGAAACCGTCACCTCTGTCCAGTTCCAAACCATTTTTGTCACCCCCCAAAAGGAAATGTCGTTAAGCAGATGCTTCCCACCGCTGCCCTCCACCCGCCCCCTCACCTGGCCTTTAAAAGTTGATGGTGCACACCTATTTTACAGTCTGCCTCCTGCCAGGGTGCAGTGGAGACCATATGGCCACCTCTTCACCACATCCCCAGCTCCTGTCCGGCACCAGTGTCAGAGGGGCCATGCGAGCCGGCGACTCACCTGCGGCCACGAAGAGGATGCCAGCGCTGAGGACGATGTTGTTTCTGCGGCTGTAGATCCTCCCGGCGCCTAGGCACAGTCCTCCAACAAGGAGCAGGATGGCGCTGAGGATGGGAAAGACGCTGGAGGCGCGCACGATGCCTGGGCCGGGAGGGGACAGAGGAGACGGCAGTGAGAGCAGCGACCCTCTCAACCTTGGCCATGGACGGGTCCCAGGAGCCTTGCAGCTGGGCTGGAGGCGAGTGATGGTCCCAGGCTCATTGTTTACTCTTCTGGAGTCACATCTGCCCCCTCTCGCCCAGCCTCTCCCCAGGTGTGAGTCACACTTTCTCAGCTGGACGGGAGCAGAGTCCCTAGGGGGCCCTGGGGAGGCCACAATAACTGCCATTGAAAGCCAGGACTGCACTGGATTCACCTAGCACCTCTCAGCCCCTTGAGCTCTCTTACCAACGGTCTCCATGGAGCCTGCAGAACAGCCTTGCAAGATGCAGTCTTGATCAGTGGCTGTACACATGGGCTCTGGCACCTTAGGCAGGACTGGGTGTCACCCTGCTTTGTGACATGCTAACTGTGTGGCGTTGAATGACTTCATTTCACCCCTCCAAAACTGTTTCCTCACCTGCAAAGTATGCCTCATAACATAGCCATCTCCCCTTATCTCAATTCGAAGAGTTACAGAGTGCCGGAAGCCAGTTAGTGTGGCCCTATGCACACACTCTGCTTTTCGATATGTGTATACCTCTGATAAAGTTTAACGTTTGCGGGTGGTACTGGGTTCGAACTCAGGGCCTCATGCTTGCTAGGTAGGTGCTCTACCACTTGAGTCCTCCACCCCCAGCCCTTTTTTTGCTTTCATTGTTTTTCAGAGAGGGCCTCTTGATTTTGCCTGGGTCCAGGCTCTGACCCCAATCCTCCTACCTACAGCCTCCTTAGCAGCTGTGATCACAAGTGTGCACCACCACACACAGCTTACTGATTGAGATGAGGGTCTCACTAAATTTTTGCCTGATCTGGCCTTGAACTGCAATCCTGCTCATCTCTACCTCCCAAATAGTTGGTATTACAGACATAAGCCACCATGCCCAGCCCAAGTTTAATTTATAAATTAGGTGTAGTGAGAGATTTATAAACTAACAATAAAATGAAACAAGTATAACAATATATAGTAACAAAATTATTTAAAACTTATGAATTGTTTATTTCCAGAATTTTCCACTTCATATTTTTGAATTGCAATTGACTAAAGTCTCAATTGAAACATTGCTGTTCCAATGTCCTGTGGTTGGTTTTGCCCACGTAAGATGCTTAGCTCAGGAATGGCCACAGCATGAAATTCTTAACTGCCCTTCGTTATCTTCAGCATCGTTATCCTCACACCTGGGGACAAAGCTGTGGAAGCTCTCCCTGCAGAGGCAGCAGGGCACTCAGATGCCTGTGGACCACGCTGTCCAGCACAACTACACTTGTGCCCTTGTTCTGCCATTGAGCAGTAGGGGGACCTGGTGCAGGGAACTTCAGTGACCACCTAAGCCTGCTCTTTCATAACCTGGAAATAGTAATACCAACCTGTAGGGGTTGAATTATACCCCACCCTTGGATATATCCGCATCCGAACACCCAGGAACATGTTATTTGGATAAAATGTCTTTACAGAGATGACTAAGGCTCTCAAGATGAGAGCGTCCTGGGTGAATTAGGTGGTGCCTATGGTCAATGACAAGTGTCCTGCTAAGAGAGGAGACGTGGGGAGAAGGCTGTGTAAAGATAAAGGCAGACAGCTGGGCGCTGGTAGCTCACGCCTATAATCCTAGCTATCCAGGAGGCAGAGATCAGGAGGATTGCGGTTCAAAGCCAGCCCCAGGCAAATAGTGAGACCCTATCTCAAAAAACCCATCATGAAAAAGGGCCAGCAGAGTAGCTTAAGAGGTAAGAGTGCTTGCCTAGCAAGTGTGAGGCCTTGAGTTCAAATCCAGTGCCAAAAAAAAAAAAAAAGAGGCAGAGAATGGAGTGACATGCCCAAAGAGTGCCAAGATCCCTGAAGCTGGAATAGGCAAGGAAAGAGTCCCCACCCCCGCGCTGAGCCTGTATGTGGAGGGGCAGAATCTGACCAGCACCTTAGTTTCAGACTTCTGGTCGCCACACAGAGAGAGTAAATTTTTATTGTTTTAGGCCACATCATCTGGGATCATTTGTTATGGCCCCAGGAATCATATCCACCTCATTATGATGGGATTATTATAAGAAGACATAAGGCACATAATAGGGGCTTGGGTCCCCTTCCTTAAAATCCAGAATAGGAGGGAAGCCAGAGAAGGGAAGAATGACAAGGGGGGGAGTCCAGAGCTCAGCCTTCTTCATGTGCCCTAGGGTCTTCAAGCCAGTGGAAATCTGGTTGTGTAGCCCTCCGTGGCCCCAGCAGGGGACAGCAAGGCAGGAAGTGCTGGCAGATGTCCTCCTGAGCCAGCTGACTGGCTTGAGGCCTTTCAGGGTCTGAAGGCAGTGCTTGTCTCTTTTTGTCGGCCCACCAGTGTGTGCTGCTGGGTCCACAGAAGAGGGATTGTCTGGTGACACTAAATGAAGCTCTTCTCTCTGGCTCCCCCTCCCCTCCATTCCTCTTTGCTGTCTTGAGGACGTTTCCTGTGCACTTCTGAAATGTGCCCCTGAGCTGTGCTGGCCAAAGCTGGGGTCAAAAATCTTTCCCGAATTCTACAGACAGGGCAGGTGGCTAGAGAGAAGGGAGCCCAGTGCCTCTAGGGTCACTTGGGGCCCTCACCTGGTTCAGAGTCATCTATCTATGTATCCTGCCCAGGTAGGTCACACAAACACCTGGTCCTTGCTACATGACTCAGGTTGGAAGTCAAGGTAGCCGTGGATGGTGGTGCAGGTCCAGTGCCTCGCAGAACACGTGGCTGAGAGATGAGTGAGGCTGGGGTACAATCATGCTGTGCTCCCCAAATCAAGCCCTGGTAGCCACGTGTGTCTGCCTGGAGGGTGGACCCTTCCCTGGAACTCACCACTGGGCACAATGTGGACTTGCAGCAGCCCTGCCACCAGTGCTCTGTGGCTTGGCATAGCACTCATGATCTACCTAACCAGAAATGCCAAACTTTAGAAGAGGGCACCAGACCCAGGGCAAAATGGATGGAACCCAGGTGGGGAGTGGGGGGCGTGGCAGCAGTGTGGGGTGACAACTCCCTCAGACCCTGGGCTGTTCATGTGCACCCTAACAGACAATAAGGAAACTCAGAACGGAGCCTTCAAAGTACGTGACTTAGGGTTCAGTTCCTTACTGAGTTGCTCAAGGCAAGGTGTAAGCAACACAGCCTTGGACCTATCAGGTTGGTACTCTGGACCTGACACTGAGCTGCCATCGCCACAGGCTGCCCCGCAGGCCTTCCGTGGCCTTCTCTGAATTCCCATTCTCCTTCAGCATGTCAGCACAGGACAGCTTGCTGCTGTACCCCACGTGCCTACTACAGGGCCTGGGCACACAGTAGGCCTAACTCTAACTTTTTGTTAAGTGAGAGAATTTATGTGAACCCTCGCCTCCTACAAACATCCACCCCCAGAGACCTCTCTCCTGATTTTGGAGCTCAGTAGTCTGGACAGAGACCAGAATGCTGACCACTGGAAACCAGAGTGGCCTGGGAAACAGCCCAGACAACCATGCTGACTGTGGTGTTGACCCGTTTCAGGAAGGTTACCTGCTCTCTGGCCCCAAGCTCACCTACGTTCTGGAAGAAAAGGATGATGGGCTCTCAGGCCAAATGTCCCTTTTTGCAGCCACTGAGTGGGATCCACCTCCCTGTTGGGAAGTCTGCTCTACCTCCCATCCCCCAAGCCCATCATCGGCTGGAGACCACAGGCCTGAAGGCTGTCAGCCCTTGTCTTCACTGGGCATCGCTAGGCTTGTTAATGAACCTGGCAGATCTCCCCACAGTGCACACTTGAGAACACATCCTTCCCAAATGAGCTCTAATTGCTGTCATTCTGACACCGCCACTTTATTTAGGAAAGTCACTCTGCGGCACTCTGGGTCCTCCCGCCCTCCCAGGGACACTGCTGGTGGAGTCTGAGGATTCCAGCAGCACATTTTCTGTTTGCCCCTCCAGATCCTCACTCTGTCCTTCCTTCTTTATCCTGCCCTGGGCCCCAGGATGCTGACTCTGTAGACCAAACCATCAGGTTCCCAGGCTCCGGCTTGGAGCAGAGTCTTTGATAGTTATTCCTCTGGCCAGGCTGCAGGATGAAGAGGGAGTGTTCTCTCCTATGGACCACAGATCCTGCCAGGCAGCCCTGTCCATTCAGCTCCCCTCCACTGGCCCAGCACTGCAAAACCCAAAGGATGTCATTCCTACTGTAATCTATGCAAGTGACATTCCTCAAGTGTAGTGTGTAACCTCCACTATTCTCCGTGGTAGTCCTTAGAGGAATCTCATTTGCTTGGTCCAGTAGGGGTCCCCAGGAAGCCAAACTGGAAGCAGGAGGAGAAGAAGATGAGAGAAGAGGGAAATGGGGCAGAGCTCTGGCCAAATTAGTTCAGGTTCTGGACCTGGCTGCAGTAGCCTGACACAGCCTCAGCTCCATGGGAACCACACGCTGTTCTATTTCACCAGATGACTCAGAATCCAAATCCTTTCTGTTAGAAAAAAATGGTCTGTAAGCAGGTGCAGAGTGAATTGTGTTCTCTCTGAGGGCACTGGTATCGATTCTCCATAAAGCAAGCTGGGCCTGAACCCCAGGTGTGCTACCGTGAGCAGCTCTTTGGCTGAACAGGCAAGGGGAAAATGACATCGAATCGTGCTGGTTTTTGCATTTCCAGCATCCTTTCTCCTTCCAGGAAGGTATTCATAGGCCCAGGGACGAGACCTGGACTGAGAGGGTAGAGCTAGGTTTGTCCTTTGGGGCTCAGCAGATGATGTGATGTCTGGGCCCCAGTTTGGAGGTCCTGCTCAGCCTTGGGCCCCAGGTGAGGGCAGGGGCTCCAAGAACAGCCCATGGGCAGAGGTGGTGGCTTTACCAGTTGAAACATAAGGGACACATACCAGAGGCTGTCCTGCTACCTTCCTCACCTCCCTCAGGCTGCCCAGCACACCAAGAAGCTGTTCTGCTGTGGGACTAACTCTGAGTTTTCAAGAACTCCAGAGGTGTGTGCAGGGGAAGGCTGGGCAGGTCTAGCTCTGGCAGGGAAAGGTGCTTGGAGTGTCGCACCCTCAGAGAAGGACCCAGCCAATCAGCAGCCCTGAAGCTGGCCACACCTGGCATCCCTGGGGAGTTGCACACCCCCACCCCCACCCAGGCCTCCGTCTCCCAAGGGCAGGGGCCTGTCTGCCAAGCAACTCCACCAGGACACCCAGCCTGTCAGAGCAGTGCTGCACAAAACTCCATTCTCCAAACTCAGATTTCTGAATGGAAAAGAGTGTCCACCCCTCCCCCCACCTCCCAGCTCCCTTCCATACACAAAGGAAGGCAGAAGCTCTTGACACTCACGAAGGAGATACTCTGAGCTGTCATGGTCATAATCATTGTCCTCAGGGAAGTGATTGATCCGGAAGCAGTGCCCTTTATAGATCCCTGGAGGGAAAGAGGAAAAGCACACTGTAAGTGCTCTGTGGGTTCAAGTGACCATTCATTCCAAACAGGGTGACTGCATGTGTGGGAAGCTCTGTGCAAGCCCTGGGGACACAGAGAAGAAAGGGTGGCTCCAGTGCTGGCTCCATCCAGCAGGGGTGGGGACGCCACACAGAGAACAACTGCACAGTGGAAGGGTGACCCCCAAGGGGATCATTTCATTTATGGTCCATGTCTGGACACCCTTGAGATGAGAGGACTCATTACTCTCTCTGCTGGGACAACAGGTGCCAAGAAGCATGTTGGATCTCTATACCAAAGGGGACTTTAAAGTTGCAGCTTGAAAAATAACAAAGAACTCGAGAAATAGGTGGAGGGGAACTTCCAGGAAAAGGAGGAAGACCAGAAGAGGCAAGGGTGGGGCCGGAGTCTGTCTGTCCATTCCTTTCTTTTGAACACACAATACAGTGGGTCTTTCCCAGGATACATGCTGACATGCTGAATGTGGACCCGGCTGGTTCAGATTTCCAATCCCCTAGCTGAAGATAGAGAACAGGGAAGAGGAACTTCCAGAAGGGCTGAGATCATCTCCTACCTGGCTTTCTCCTCCCCATTCTGAAAAATGGCCTCCCCAGGGTGGAAGACAGGACCCCCTGGACTTAGTAAGGGCAAGAAGATGGGCCAGCATTCCCTTCTAGAATCTTTTGTGTAGCTCTCCAGTCCCTTGCTGCCTCACAGCCTGAGAATGCCTACTACAGAACTGGACACCAGTGGAGAGGGGGCACACAGGACGTCACTGTCATGCCTTGCCTGTGCCTACCAACTCCTCACGTGCAGTTGGCCTCCCACTCCTGCAGCCCGAGAGCGCTTCCTGACCCTCTGTGTGGCCTGTGCTGGGCTGTTTCCAACTGGGACCAATCTTTCTTCCCCAGCTGCTGCCAAGTGTCCTGCTGGCCTGCATCAGTCCAGCCTGACCTCACAGTGGGTGGAGCATGGTCTTGGATCCAGGGTGTGTGCCAGATGCACATCTGTCTCTCGTTGCATCCAACTGAGGGGTCCCTGCTGAGCTGGGAGCATGCTGCTCTCCCCCACTGGCCACCAGCGAGCTGCTCACCAGCTGCCCTCCCTGAGCTTTTTCTCCACCAGGCTCCTCCAGCTGCTGCCTCCAAAGGGCAGGCAGCTCAGGAATGACTCCCTTGTCAGGGGTGGTGGAGACAGACCGAGGGTTTCAAAGGTGATGCCTGAGTGAAGCAGGCTTCGACAGTGTTCTCTGGGCTGGATCTAGCCAAGTGCATAGGTAACTCCTCAGTCTATAAGATGGAGGTAACCCCAGCCCTCCTCTCCTAGAGGCAGTGTTAGCAGAATTACACTAGCTAACGGCCAGGAGGATTCTTGGTCCATGGGGATGGCTATGGAGAGGGTCGCTGCTGCTGGACCCACAGTCACCCATCCTAACTGCATGTCCTTGCTCTTTTGTGAGTGGCTGAGTGAGTCCCTGGGCACCCAAAGGACTTTGTGTGCAGAGGGGAAAGAGAGTCAGTCAGGCTGGTCTCAGGCTACCCAGGGAAGGGGTGCACTCACAGAGACTGGAATGGGCCTGCTGCACCTCCCATCACTCTTTGCAGATTTAATGTTTGTGCAGACATTGGATCTGCAAGCATTTTCCACAAAGATGGATGGGATAGGCAGAGCTCTCTGCCACACACAAACACACACACACACTTTCCTAATTCACAGGTCTACATAAAATCACCAAATCACACCTGCTTGTTGGAACAAGTCAAATAATGAGGGTTTTCAACCTCTTCTTTTTCAAGAAGCAAATAATCCCTCTTTTCAGATTTACTCTCCTTCAGGCTTGTTAGGCTTGCGTGTATCTTCCCACAACTCCCTTTCTGTGTGTGCCCCCTGCCCCACAGACTTGGAGTTCTCCCCCATTTTGGGGGACCTCTGGGGGCTGAACCCAAGGCCTTCATCATGCGAAGCCTGCACTCTGAGCTATACCCCCAATCCCTATGTGTTTTTAAAAAAATTTAAACCTTATTTTGGGATCACCTTAGACTCACATACAGTTGTAAGAGATAATATGGAGGTGTCAAGTACCCTTCACCCAGTTCCCCCAACAGCACCATCTTACGAACTAGAGCACAGTGTCCCACCCATGATAGTTACATTGATCCATCATGGTCCAGCTCATTTCATCACCACCAGGATCCCTCAGGTTGTCCTTTTGTAGCCACCCCTACCCCACCCCAGGCAACCACTAATACGCTGTCCATTTTGGTAGTTGGTTTTGTTTTTTTTGTGGTACTGGGGTTTGAACTCAGGGCCTGCACCCTGAGCCACTGCACCAGTCCTTTTTTTGTATGGGTTTTTTCAATATAGGGTCTCGTGAACTATTTGCCTGGGCTGGCTTTGAACTGTAATCCTCCTGATCTCTGTCTCTTGAGTAGCTAGGATTACAGATGTGAGCCACTGGAGCCAGGCTCCATTTTGGTAGTTCTGTCCTTTTGAGACTGTGCTACAAATGGAATCATATGACATGCAATCTTCAAGGATTGGCTGTTTTCACTCAGCATAATTCTCTTGAGAATCATCCAAGAGTCATCCAAGCTGTCTCATGTGTCAAGTCGGTTCCATGGCAGGGATGAGATGTCCCACTGCTTGTCTAATCAGTTACCCACCAAAGGACACCTGCTATTTCCAGCTGTTGATAACAATGCTGCTGCAAACATTTGTGTGCAGGTTTGGGGGTGAACCTGTATTTTCACTTCCCTTTGATTAATGCCTAGAAGTGCAAACTCTTGGGTCAGCTGACAGCAGCATGCTCAGTGAGAGGCTTGCCAAATGGTTTCTAGGATGGTTGTGGTCCCCTATTTTTAAATTGGAATTATGTTTTATACTTTAATCTACAACCTGCTGTCTTCATTTAGTGATAATCACAACCACCTTTCCAGTTAAGAATTTCAGTTTTTAGAAAACTGTTATTTTCTAATTAAAATACAGTAAGTTGATATTAATCCAAAAGTTGCTGAAAAATCCTAAAAGTAAGAGCACATGGCGGAAACGAGGATACCGTATACTTACATACTCAACCTGAAAACAAAACTCGGTTTGAGGACTGTTAGCCTGCACACAGAAATATTTGCTCAAAATATCCCTCCAATATATTTTGCTAATGTCCATTCTACATTTAGGCCATTATTTTATATTTGATAGAAATTGTAAATAGGAATAACATGGTTCAATTACACAAATATATTTCCTTCCTTCCTTCCTTTTCTCTTCCTCCTTCTTCTTCCTCTCTCTCTCTCTTCCACCCCCACCCCACCCCCCTGGCCGAGGATGAAACCAGGGCCTTATGTGTGTTAGGCACTGAGTCACATCCTCAGCCTTATTCACCCATTTTCAAAACACATTATTTTTAGTGGCTACAAATCTATCCATAGTTATGGCTTATCAATGCAGCTATGCCATAAAATCCTCCCCCACGAAGGATTCTGCTCAAAGATGCACTGAACGTACACACACTGCAGTGGCTCTCCCACTTGCCCCTTTCCTTTCCTTCCTTCCTTTTG